ATATATTCATAACCCAAGAAAATATTTAGGGTTAATATAAGTTGTTTCTGAGTGATGAAATATTTTTAAATGATTTTTTGAAGTTCACATTACTATCGGATCTTTATTTTAAGTTATTTTAAAATACGTCATAGATTAAAGGAGATATGTAATTTTTGTTCAATCTTTTATATGATGAAGCGAAATACATACTGGTTGCAAAAAACTTTTGGCGCTTAGAAAATTTCTTATACGCGTCTTTCCCCAAGCACAGTATTTTATCAGTCGTGAATTCAATTTGCCTTAGAAAATTAGGTACAATAAAATTATACAGATCACATCAAAAATGTAAGAGGATTTTATTTTTTCTAATTTGGAGGGTGCTTTGTACCTGTGGTTTGTAATCCTTGGAACCACAGCATGTAGCTGTAATGGTGACATCTGTCGATTTTATAGATTTAAAGTATTGTTTGCTTTCTACAATCGATATCGCTATTTTCTAATAGATTTCATTCCCATATATTTTTAGTTTTCTAACTAAAAATATATGGGAATGATATCTTCTGAAGACGTGACATAACGGTTAGATATATCAATTCCATACATTTTTATACTAAAGATTATAATACTATGATTAAAAGTCTTGTCGCTTTTCATTATATGATAACAAGTAGCTAAACTAGCTTTTAAAATAAAAAAATTAGGTTAACTACGCAAATATATTTTTATAGTCTAAATTTTAGGTTAATAATGTGGTAGAGAGTATGGTAGAGATACCTGTATGCTAATTTCTATTTCAGTTTAAGTCATTTCTGTTTGTTATCGTGATTGTCCCGCAAACTCTTGAAATATGTTCATTATAAAGCCTTAATTTGTTATCAGACATTATACTAAAAGTTACGAAAATAATTCTTTATCACATAACTCTTTACATATTATATTATAAATATGAAATTTTATACTTGTGTGTGTGTGTGTGTGTGTGTTTGTCATGTCTTATATAAAATCTTGACAAATGCCAGTGAAGTTCAGTATAGTCAGGTTAGGTATATCATATTACCCCCCCCCCCCCCCAACGTGCGTTCACCTTGTCGTGGTGGGGGGGCTCAGTAGTGTACTCACGAAGCCAAGAAACGCACAGGGAGGTGGCCCGCTTCGGTGGGCGGTGGGAGGCGGCCTTCTTCGGAGGGTGGTATACCATGCGGGTTGCTCCTGGTACTTCTCTGATAGCAGAGTGGACCGTGGAGCAACCCCATGGTTGTTGTGGTCTGCTTCGGCAGACCTGCCGTCGGGGCGTCGTAGTTGAATGCGTAAGCGATCCTGCGACGCCCCATTAAGACGGGGGAAGGTTTTGTTGGGTTTTAGTGGGTAGTACTGGCTTCGCCGGTGAGTCCCACACTTCGTGCGTAAATGCATTTCCCAACGTTAAAAAAAAAAAAAAAAAAAGGTATATCATATTAAGCACTACATTTTTTCTGAAATGATTTAAAAAATTAAAAAAGAAATACCTACATAAAAGCTAAATACTAAATTTGATCCGAATCGTTGGAATCGTTTCCGAGATACACCAAATATATTTATATACTTATATACAAGAATTGCTCATTTAATATTATAAGATACCTGCATAGACTTGGACGTACCTAGTACGCGAGTAAAGCCGCTCGGCGAAACATGTAAATAACAGGATTTAATTTATTTTGTATGTGAACTTTATTGTCAAACCAAACATTTTCACAGTCGACTCGTGCCAGTAAATAGTTAAGGTATAAATTACCGCCATTAGCTCATCCACAGAATGCAGTTTTACAGCGAGATAAAACGATAGAATTGAGAATTAGATTTTATTAAAGGCTTGCTTTATTGTGTTGATTTAACTAGCGGTTCAACTATGGCCATTTGAATTTTGTTATTTTGAACTGATACGGTACGCTTTGCCTATTTTTATTACTCTGTGAAGCTTTTACTTATAAAAGTTCTGTTTTAAGTGCAATTTAGATTTTTTTTATTTTGATAGAGCGTTTTTAATGTACCTACTGATTTTGTTGCCTCGGTGCTCTTGTAGCTTGCATGTACAGCGTCTAAGGTCCTCGGTTCGAGTTCAGGGTCAAAAATAGATACTGAGTTTTTGTGCGATATATGCAAGTTCAGTACGTGCAAAAGAGCACACTGTGATCTCCGATCGTGTCGAATAATCCTCTCACCTATAAGGAATATTACAATATAAATTGTCATGTGATCTATGGCCACGGGTGCCAGTCGCTAGACCAATAAGGCTGAAAGACATACTAGGTTATTTTTATCCTGGTAATTTAAAAGGTTCCTAAGAGAAATAAAACTATTGTAATCATTATATGAGCAAAGCAAGGATATGTCACTAGTATAATATAAAAACTAAATTGACGGACAAACTCAAAGTCTTAATTTGATTTAACATCTTTAAATACGATATGATGATGTTCTCCTAGCCGATTCCGGCTACGGCGGCTAATCTCATTGAGACTAGCCAACTGCGCAGGAGATATTATAGTGCACAAGTGTACGTGCAGACACAAGTGCACTCTCTATTCCTGTCACTCTCATACTCCGGTGGGACGACCACTCGACACGACCGGTGAGAGTTAAGGCGCAGGACCGACGGCTTTACGTGCTCTCCGAGGCACGGGGGTGAAACACCGCCAACTTCCCAACTCCGGGCTGCTACTGAGACTTAGTATACAGAAAGACTCAATAACTAAACTTGGCCCGACCAGGACCTCCGAGTGTGCAGCCGTACATGCTAGCCACTACACCACCGAGGCAGTTAAATAATACGATATAAAGAGAACAATGACAAAGAAAAAGACAGAAGGAGTACCTATATACTCCTTTATATAGCTTTGGTACGCTGCTGTCTGTAACAACCTCGTAAAGGACGTAGGAAATATTAAAAAAACGGGTACTTCCGAATCTAACTCGTACACCGAGGATTCCGTATAATGAAACTTTTGTTATATTTTAACATAGGTACTTTACGTTAAAAGTAAAATGAAATAGATACCCTGACTCTATAAGATTCATTTCATTGAGTGCATAAATAAGTTTGTATTTTATAGTATTTCTATGAGAAATAAAGTTAATTTTGCAGCTGAAGGCGTAGTACTAAATATCCAATATGTTGAAAATTAACTTGTACTATAAGATAGTTAGGTAAAGTCTAAGTTAATCGAAATATTCTATAGGTTTTCATTTAATTGCAGATGTCAAAATAAGCAGGAAGTGTTAGGAATTTGATTTTTGTATATCCCTAAGAGAACGTAGAGCTGTACACTAGTATATTAACATATTAATTTCACCTTAATACCTTCACGTGGTCCTCGGGAAAAGGATTTTGTTAGATAAATAGACAGACGGACAATGAAATGACATAATAGAAGTCCTATAAGGGTTTCCATGTTCCTTTTCCGATACTGAACCCTAAAACCCAACATATCCACTCATAACAGTAATAAAATAGCTATATATCGGCTGCATTTAAAATTGATCAACAAGCATTGTTTCCCCTTGGTAATAAAAAACCTATTCAAATTACGTCTGTTTCGTAATAAATCCGTATCACTCACTGGAATTAGGTACCTCTAAAAGTTTTTTTTTATTAAGTTTATGCGATAGAATTAATACATAATGCATACAGTATATCTATATAACCTATACATATAATAAAATTCTGAGTCGAATCTGTGTATTAAATATTTTTTTGAAAAATCATATTCTTTTTTTATATTAATATATCTTATATAAAAAAAGAGTATATATTAATATTATCTTATTTTTGTCTTGTTGTGTGTCTATTTGGGAAAGCATCACAAGAAAACCACTGGACAGATTTCGATGAAATTTGTTATGATGATAGCTGGTTATCCGGGTCAACATTAGGATACTTTTTACTGCGGGAAAATATCTCATCTCTGAGTAACGTATACTAAACATTAAAACGTAACTAAGGATAAACCCGAGCGGAGCAAGTGTCAGTCGCTAGTAAAGTTATAAAATCAAATATGATTTAGTAATAAACAACGCAATATAATAATAAACAACCCTAAATCCACTGCGATATTTTTTCACATCCAAGATCCTTTCAGATCCAAGAAATCAACCGTGTCGAATACATAAATGAACTTCCATCAAAACACTCATAGTTTATGAGGGCATTGTTTTATTAATATCTATAAAAAGCTCCCAAGTATAGAGCTTTACTTAGAACTCTTATAGCTTTCAGTATTCACAAACTTTATGGACTTGCTAAGTTTATTGTTGTAAAGTTACTCTATGCAATTAAATTATATGCATTACTTTATTTGTTTCAGTTTATTATACGCATTTGCATTCATTTTACAACTTTATTCAAATTTATGATTATTATTTACTTAGCTCTGTCTAGCATATAGTTGGTGTAATATTGAGTTACATTAATAGTGAGTGAGTTAGTTTAAGTGCTCATTTAGAAGTAGGAAAATCACTACAAACAGAAAGACAAAATTTTATTCAGTATATATATTGAATGAAGTCCATCGTTAAATTCGCCAGTTGGGTCCGTCGAAGCTTTTCTTTATATCATTTCGTATATCTTACTAATATTATAAATGTGAAAGTTTAGATGTTTGTATGGATGTTTGTTACTCAATCACTCCAGAATGGCTGAACGGATCTGGAGAAAATTTGGCATAGAAGAAGATTACAGTCTGAAATAGCACATAGGCTACTTTTTATCCCGAAAAAATGTACGATTTCCGTGGTACACATTTGTTTTATTTCTCTTGAGGCGAACCCAGCGAAGCCAGTGTGAGCCGCTTGTGTTTCATAATCATAATAAGAATATGATTAATCTTCATACTATTTTCTTAGATTGAGAAATATATAAATAATATTATAAGCACAATGTTTCCATAAAATTTTTAACAAATTATTTTAACGTTCAATTTTGTAATCGTACACGTTACTTTCTAAATAGACATAAAAAAATATGTTTGCCTTTGTTTCAGACTGATGCAGCGACTCCTGAGTTAGCTGATGAGGAGCCCACATCATCAGAGAGTTCCATTTTCTCATCAATCCTTCCAGACAAGCTATCGGGTTCCATATGTACTGCTGTTTTGTTTATGCTGGGCTGGAAACTCCTTTGCAATAAACGGTGAACTAAAATATAATAAAAATCGGCTAATCTTTCGCAGTACTTTATCGAGTTATATATATTTAAAAAAAATACTAGCGTCTGTTTGTAAAACATATAATATATCATGTCCTTGAATTTCAAAACGCTAGATATAAAGTACTCAAAAAATTATATGTACTTATTCCTGTACTTAAATGCAGGATATTTATTTTTTACTTAAAAGGTTTTGGATTTTTAGCTCTACTTTTAATCAATAGTTTCTTACACTGCTATATGCAGTTTTGAATAAGTTGTAAATATATAACGATCTCATATAGATGTCAAATATACATTTTACGTGTTACGATTACAAGAATTTTCGTTTAAACTGAAATCTGTAAATAAATGTTCGAGACAGCCTAATTTTGAAATTATTTTAATGTTTTTACCTAAATAAAATGTATCCGTAACATAATGTTAGTAAATATGCTATTATTCTTTTGTAATATATAAATATTACAACGTTCCGCACATTGTAGATTTATTGGTTCGGTGTTAAAGAAAAAGGGACGTTACCATGTAAAAGAAAATTTGGTGCGCGATGTACGGTTATGCTAACAGGTGATTTTTTCCAATAATTGTAATTTTTATATAAATAAATAGCGCACAAAGTATTTAACACAAGTAGACTTGAGTAAGACTTTAAATAAATATAAAGTACTTTTAGAAACTATCCTTGATTGAAATTTTATATCGTCAATTGACATTCCGCTTTGGATGTTTCTTATTATGTAATTAAATAGTAAATATTTAGATTCAATAAAAAAATCTTGGTCTACATTTCAAAATAAAGAACATGGAGTTTATTATATGATTATAAAATTATCTTCTTATAATATCCGTATAAGGTAGAGTAAGAGAGAATGTTCTGAAAAAACTCTCCGTTCTCGCCAAATAAAATAAAACGTAGGTTTCTGAACGGAACCTGTGACACCTTTCTCTACAGTGCCGACCGACTTACTGCCATTAAACTATAAGTTACAATTTTCAGGTTTCATATACAAGCGATTCGCAATTTTAACTATTAGCTAAACCGTAGTTAGTCTTCTAGTTAAAAATATTAACATGTTAATATACAGAGGTTAAATGGATTATTAAAGAAGTTTTTTAACAAATTGAGATGTAAAGACGTAATGATTAATAAAAAAATTTAAACCCAAACGTCTTTTACCCATGAAATTGTTCCAAAGAGCTGCCTAAAATCTATTATCGTTTGATCTCATTATTATTTTAATAATAATTTTTATTTTATATTTTTTAGCATATTTTGAACCGTTTCGATTGATTGTATTGAAGAACGGATATATATTGCTTATATTGTTAATATTATTATTTTGTTTATTTCATATGGAACTTTAGAAGCCATGTATGAGTAGTATGAAGACAGAATTGAAATTTTTACTTTAAAATTTCAACATATTCGTTTAAGGTATATAGTTTACATAATATTATAAGAGTTAAGTTCATAGACATATGTATATCATGTAAATAAACAATATGATAAGTTATTTTGATACATAAATTAAAGCTAACTACTTAATTTAGCTTATTTATATTATGGAAAATTTGCAAAAATTTAAGATGGGTTTGGATAAAATATGCCGCCATATTATAGGTAATTATTTTTTACTAAAGAAGTTATATTGACTTGGAAATCATATTAAAGATATTATTTTACCCTTTGAGGTTGGCTTTTTTTATAAAGACCCTTGAAGAATATTATTCTCTAATTAAAAAAAAAGAATGACGAAAATCGATTCACACACACACAAAAAAGAAATATAGCTGGCATTTCAATTGAAATTTAAGGGAAAAAATATTAGGAATTTTACAGGATTTTGCAAATTTCATAATATTTTCATGAAATTACACCCATTTTCATAAAAATATATTACAGTTGTTAAAAAACCTAGGTCGTAATAGACGTGTGCTTTTGATTTGAAAATCGTTTACTTCACTTTATATGGGATCAAACAAAGTTGGGATCAAAAATTTTAGTTTCACTGAGTAGTTATTGTTTGATATTTTATTTTAAGTAACAAAATAAGTATACAGAAGGATGTGTTCAAATGTGATATGTATTTATTTAAGGAGACGAATAAATAAAAAAAAGAAGTTTTCCTAATGATCTCTTAAAAACTCTCAATGCTTTGGCTAAGAGCTGGTGAATGTATATTTTTTATATATAATGTAAAAAATAAATTTGATAGTTTGTATGAATAATATTATTTTTTTAATACTCCTGGCTTCGTTTTGCCTTTAAATTACTTGGATATATGTACATATATAAAATATTATATTCACCAGAACTTCGTATATGCAAGAAAAGTATGAGAGTTTTGTATATAAATTCAAATTGGTATGCTTACGCTCTTTTATAAGGATTGCGCAAAAACCAAAATTTTCATATTAACGCTTCATAATAGCCATTGGGAGAATATGGAAATTTAAAATTTTTATTATAATTAATAATGATTTACACGTATTATTATTACAATCGATATTTTTCGTAAAAAAGTTATAGAAATGATAGACTTACAGGTTTTTTTTTTCAATAATCGAATGTTTTTTTTAAATTATAATTGTAATATTTCCATCTCCTCCAAATAATACCAATAAAGTGCTTGTGCTATACTATAAACATTATTGTAACGTCTAATAATTCAAAACTAAGCAATATAACTGTACTCATAGTGTATAAGAAAAATATTTTTTTTATTATTTTATTATAAAAAAAAATTATATATGAAAACTTTTCTGTTTTTTTGGATTATAAATTTCATTTTTCCATAAATATTATGAACAAGTATTATAGTTTAGAATAATTTCAAGGCCTGTAAATTTTAGAATAATTTAGCTAGTAGTTTGTATCATTATTTCATACCAATTTCATATTTCGTGTATTCATTTAGATTATATTATTTTAATCAAGTACTATTTTGGTTACTATATCTGTTTTATATTCTTTATTTAAATAATTATAATTTTATAAATAAGAAAATGTGTTTTATTTTATTCCTAGCGACTCACCCTCGATTCGCTCGAGGTCGTCCCTAGCTTGCTTCCCAGTACAAACTTTCACCCTCATTTTTACCCCCTTAAGGGATGATTACCGGGATAAAAAGTCCTATGCCCTTTTCAGGCTCGCAAACTATCTTCTTACCAAATTTTATCTACATCGATTCAGTAGATCCAGAGATTATCCCCTACAACGTCACGTGTAAGTTCACAAACTTTACCTCCTTATAATATTAGTATAGATAAGAATTTGTAATCCTCCATACATTATGTTGCTATAACCACGTACGTAATAAGGTTCTACTGACTGATTTCGGAAATATTATAGTACACAAGTGTACGCATAGACACAAGTACACTCTCTATTCCTTTCAAGCTGAAACTCTAGACCGTTCCAAGAATTTCTTAACAGAAAAATCCAATAACTATTCTCGACCCGACCCGGGACTCGAATCCAGCACCTCCGAATCTGCAACCAACCAAGTCTCTAACGAACTACGAGGAATTAAAAATAATAATTAATTAAATTATATTGTGGTTACTCATAAATTGTTTTACAAGTTTTTATTAAGTATAGGATATATTATTTGGTGCGTAATAAAAACCAAATCTACAATTTTTAGGGATTAGAATCCTATTTATCTACCTTAATTTATTCATTTGTCAATAGTTACTTTATTAACCGACTTCCAAAAAGAAGGAGGTTCTCAATTCATCGGAATCTTTTTTTATGTATGTTCACCGATTACCTACTCGAAAACGCCTGAACCGATTTGGAAATATATTTTTTTTTGTTTCGAAGGGTATACTTCCTTTTGGGTATTAGCTTATTTATTTCGGTTCTTGGTTCCCGACGTTTCGAATGCTTTATAGCAATCTTGGTCACGGGAGAGATTAAAAGTTTTCGAACCAGCCATGAAGGTTGAAAAAAGAAAAGATAGGTATTTTTTTAAATGTTATTTATTTCGACATAGATAAGAAATGAGAATATAAAAAACCCATGAAAATGATATTATTACTATTTCTTATATTAATCTAAATAATATCTAATGGTCATATTTATCGTTTTTTATTAGCGATATCGATTGTAGAAATTAAACTGATGAAGACTGGTTAGAATAAAACTTTGTTGGTAATAGCGATTGTTGGCAATAATCTAAACTAAGACGAAGAATAGCTAATTTGTATAATGATTTGGTCAAAAGAGAAACCATGTAGATTGACCTTCCATTTCCCCGCGTTTCTGTACTAAGTGGAGACCATAAAATATAGTGGTTGTCGAGTAAATTATATTGAAATAACAAATGTAGTTTTTTTGTTTCAATATATTTTTTTTTTAAATTTTTTAAATTGTATTGAAATAACAAAATCGTTATGTCATAGAATCATAATAATCGGTTCTATTCTTCAACGATTGTAGAATGATACCTTGTGTAAGTACCAGTGTCAGAATTTTATTAAAGAATTTATATGGGGCAGATAGATCAACAGACGGACAAACAGTGTATGGGTTCTTTAGTGTCTTAAAGGACACTAAACCCTAAACCCGTATTCTAAATACACCATAAACCTAAATCGAAGAAATAAATAGTAACAAATTAGTATCCCAAACAGCAATACTTCACATTCCAAACATCAATTCAAACCAGCAATAAATTTATTTCCACATTCATTTAGATTTTAGAGTGATTTTACTGTATTTTTGTACATAATCTCCTAATTTGACTCAACAGTGGTTAGAAGTAACATGGGGGGTTTATTGCTTCAAGTTCTTTTATTTAAAGCTATTGTGTTTGGGGGATGCCAAAATAGATGACATGTTATTTTAGAGACTAGCGAGTGGCTAAGATTTTTCAATGTTTTTATGTATTGCTCTAACGATTTGGATCAAATTTTTCATTTAGATAAGGTTTTGCTTTCTAATTTAATCAATATATATTATATAGATGTTATTTCTGAAAAAATCGCGATTTTTATATATTTTCCGAAATAATACGATTTGATAAAAAAAAAAGCTCGGTCGCCCAGGTAGGTACTAATACAATATACATATAAAAATTTCATTGAAGAAACGTATACAGAGTAAAAAATAATAAGTATTTTTTTTAGATTTACGCGAATATTTGATATCTATATATATAAAAGAAAGTCGTGTTAGTTACTTCGCTTATAACTCAAGAACGGCTGAACCGATTTAGCTGAAAATTGGCAGGGAGGTAGTTTAGAGCCAGGAGAAGGACATAGGATACTTTTTATCCCGTTCGACCGCGTTCCAATTTTTATGATATTTTAATTTTTGGATTTCTCTTAGTCCGGAATAGGTAAGTATTAAAACATATAATTAAAATGTGAGAAAGAAAGATTTTTTCTTTTTATATCTATTTAAAACGTACCTAGCGACGAACCCGAGCGAAGCGAGGGTGAGCCGCTAGTTTTAAATAAAATGAATCTCTTCAGCAGGCATTGAGAATGTTGCCGCAAAACATTCGGGAACCAAAAATCAAAATAAAACCTTGAAAAAATCGGAATAGATGGCTTTATATTGTTTTTAAATTTAAAAGTAGATCGACTTCATAATCACATAAAATTAATTGAAAACTAATTCCAACAGTACAAGGGAGGTGGTAATCCACTGGTCACTCTCGTTTGTTAAAACAAATGAATGGGTATACTTCAGGTCTCTGAGGTTTCTATGTGCGAATCATTTTTGGCATAATACCTTGCAAAAAAGCGAGTTTGGGAGAAGTTCGAAAAACATTCGGCCCGCCGACCCACACTTGGCCAGAATGCTAGACTGGGGTTTGAGCCCACTCGCATTGAAGGGAGTGCCCAGCTTAGGAGCGTCAAAAAATGCCGAACATCTAGTAACCAGCTCCTTTTTACTAGCTTCCTTTTTGCTTTGCGCTTTTTTTTAATTAGACACCCAAAAAAAGGTTCGTAAGTTTTCAATTCAATTCCATTTTCTTGTTAATAGCTTCAAAGTACAAGCTGAGCACAGATTACTTCACCAATGTCACGTAGAATGGAGAAGACTTGAAGAAGATTGGTCGATACAATAAGATCATTTAACTACATAATATATATTATATTTATAAATTATAATATTTAAAAATGGGAGTATCTTTAAACTTTCTCCACTCTTTCAAAAATCCTTTCGTAACAGGTCATACGTACTTGTATTTCATCATAAGAAGACTGATCTTTGAGGCCACGGCCAATTTGCTCTGGACGATATTTATATTAAAGAGCCACTTTTTACCATATAAATAAAAATAAATATGGCGGTACATTATCACACAGCACCATCTAATTCCATGGTATGCTACGAGGCTTGTGTTATGGATACCAGATAGTTGATACACTACACATATATAACTTTAAATACATACATATTATAAATATAAACACCCATGACTGGAGTAACATTTATGCTCATCACAGAAATAAATGCCCCCAATTGAACCCGAACCCGCGACCGCTGGCACAACGAGTTACTACAAACTGAGCCAAACGTATCATCATTAAAATAATATATAATAATTTATTTTCACAAAAAAATAATGTTTTTTTTTTATTTCCTGTTTTTTCCATTAAGGTTTACTTTCAAGAAAGAATGACTATTCTCTAACATTTACTATCTGTCGTAAAACTATCAAAGTCACGTTAGACTCAGATGCATCTTACACTTTATAAAGAACTTTATAATATTCCTATTACAAAGACGATCTAACTCAAATGGGATGTATTTACTTGAAACTACTGTTCTGGAAACAAATTTGAAAGTTTTTTTTAAATTTCAACGCCTTTTTAGAAGTATATTGAATATGGTTAAAGTTTAAAAGAGATTTGAAAAATTAATTTTATATAACGACCCTTAATATGGAATAGATTGACTATACTTATATACATAGGTATGGTGAGTTTTATATTCTATACTTGAGAAATTATTGATTATCCATACAAATTTCCACACCTCTTTTCATCCCCTTAAGGGATGTGTTTCGGTATAAAACTATCTTATATACTTCCCAGGATCTCAAGCTATCTCCATACCAAATTTTATCTAAATCGGTTTAGTCGATTAAGCGTGAAAAGGTTGACGGACAGACAGACTTACAGACAGTGTTACTTTCGCATTTATATTATTAATATGGATTGACATTATGAATTATGATAATTAGTATGTGAAGTACCTATTAAATACTTTTGTTATATACAGTGACTATTTGTCTATATCCCCTGATAACAGAAACTAAGGTGCAAAATAACAACATTATAATTTTTTGGTAAAAGTTGAACCTACGATCAACACAAAAGGCAGTAAGAAATAAATTTATTTGTTAATCCCTCCACGGCCGCGGACACGCCGGCGTTACAGTTAACAATAGATTTCTTAGAAATTTAATTAATTTCTTAGAAATTTACCTGGAGGTGATTAAATCAAAAGTTTTCGTTAAAATCTAACGATTAACAGGTGTGAAGCTTCTAATATAATACAATTTAATGTGACTTCACATCCGCTATCTAAACATATAATAAAATTGTAACTAAGTCGAATCTGTACATTAAATATTTTTTGGGAACTCTTATTGAAATAGACATTATTATCGATACAGAGTCCGATACTATAGTTTTTAGAATTTTTGTTTGTCTGTCTGTCTGTTACCGCATCACGAGAAAACCAAGGGACAGATTTTGATATGAAGATAGCTGTTTATCCGGGTAAACATATAGGATACTTTTTACCGCGAGAAAATATCTCATTTCTGAGAAAAAAATACAGAAACTGAATTGTAATTGTTGTAAGAGTATACTAATATGTAAAACCCAAGAATTTGGTTTTTGGTCATCTGGACGCGGGCGGAGCCGCGGGCAATGCTAGTTATCTATATATGTTTAATTTACATACATATGTATCTTTCACGCAGTATTAAGTATTAGTAGACTGAAGAAACATAATCTTCTAATTTTTAAAACGCTATTATTCGCTCACTGACAACTAACTAGTTAACAATGTTATCCAATCATTGAAGTCGATTTGAACCTAAATATTCATACTAACTTGATTTTTTTTTGAAGTTTGTGAAATCCGGGAAGTTAATAATTTTATGCCAAATATCGGTTAACAAAGCCAATAAAACTATTCAAAGACTATAATAATATAATAACTAATAATATTATATAATAATATATAATAATAATAATATGCCCCTCAAAGCCTAACTCCACGTCCGGCTAATACACCTATGCCACGTGAGGGGTGGACATCGAAGTCTGTTTGTCAGACGGTTACTCAATCGATGACTAACGGAGCTATAGCAGCACCTTTAATATGAAGAGACAATTAAGGAATACACGTATAGGGTCGCTACCCGGGGGTGATCGCCGGGGCACGCCTGGAGCTGACGCTGGGCGTGACAGCATACGGGCCGTCAGTGACTCTCTGCTGAACAGGCGGGCAGAAGTCGGGGTACCTGAACATGTTACAGCCGAACCACGGGGAGGGGGGGAAACGGGTGATGCTTTGCAGAGTAGGGAATTCACTCCCACACAACACTCTGCCGGCTCATCTGTAACGACCACGAGTACTTCTATAAACGAGGATAAGAAAAAAAAGTGGTCAACAGAGGAGATGGAGGAGTTAATATATTGTTATTTTAAAGCTAAATTAGAAGGACCAGGATACATAGCAAGACTACAACAACTTTTTTGCAATAGAAACCCAGATAACCCTAAAATCCATAAATTTAATGGCAATACACTTTCGAATCAGGCACGTAGGATAATTAAACAGAATGTATTACCGAAAAACACACTAGACACAATACAAAAAACAATAGAAAACCAATCACAACTAGCACAAAATTCTATAATACCAATCACAGAAAATTCTGACGTACTCACAGCGGTCACTCGATCATCATCCACAAACCAATCACAACAAAGTAGTAGTAGTAATATTGAAACCCAAAACACAGAAATATTTTACGGTGATAGGAGAAGAAGATGGACGCAACAAGAGGAAGAGGAACTAATGTTTTGTTATTTTAAAGCAAAATATGAGGCAACGGAGTATATCAGTAGACTGGAACAATTATTTAAACAGAGAAATCCTAACAATCCAAAAATACATAGGTTCAATGGAAATACGATATCTAACCAAGCACGTCGGATTTTAAAACAAAACCTTATTTCTCAAGAACTACTGAACCGAATCAAGCGTAATGCTGAAAACGATGCGCAGCAATCTCATCCTAACGATGCAAACGCACACACAAACACAACGTCAACTTTAGTTTTAGATAATACCATAGCGGAAACCAATGAACAAGACAGTTCAAACATACAAAGTAGCAGCAGATCTGTTTCAGTGATGGCACAATGTCCTGTAACGTATGGCAATGATGAAGAAGCGAATCCTCTCGTTGTCCAATTCCTACAATGTTTAGCCGAAACAAAAGAAATACCTATCGAAGAGCGCGATTACCTACCGAAAGCTAAAATCAATAGACAATTTTTACAAAATTTAACAGTAATAGACAACTATTTACCAACAATTTTGGCAAGTAATTGCACTCTCCGAGACACTAATGACATAATTTATTCCGCCGCGAGAACTTTAATAGTCAACAACAACCAACACCCTTACTCACCTAGTAGCACAATAAAACCGCATACAGACCCACCATGGAAAAATAGGATAAAAGTAAAAATAGAACGTTTGAGGAAAGAATTAGGACAGATGGTGGAAATTTCAAGGGGAGTTAATTCAAGAAAAATGATGAAGATCAAGGATAAACTATACGCAAAATATAATATACAGAATGAAATAGAACATAAAAGTAGAGAAGAAATACTGAAGCAAAGAATAAAGGCTCTGGCAGGCAGAATAAAACGATATGAAGAAATAAATAGCAGAAAACAACAGAATAAAATGTTTACAGAAGACGAACATAGATTATATAGAAGTTTAGACAGTAAGAAAGAAAATATAGACGTTAAAATACCGAGCAAGCGCAACACTGAGGAGTTTTGGACAAACATTTTATCACAACCGGTTGAATACAATCATCAAGCAGAATGGATTTTAGACATGGAACAATCTAATAATAATATCACCACGAGCTCATCCGAAGAAATAACTACTGAACAGATTAAACACTCTTTAAGTAAAATGTTAAATTGGAAGGCGCCAGGACAAGATAAAGTTCAGAACTACTACCTTAAGTATTTTACCAAGATGCATGATCACCTCGCAATGCTATATACGAGAGTTCTGAAATGGGAAGAACCATTAGAAGATTGGCTAACAACTGGCAAGGTTATTTTGATTCCAAAGAATGAGGACACCGAAAATCCAAAGAACTGGCGCCCAATCGCATGTTTACCGAGTATGTATAAACTCCTCACTTCCATATTATCCGACCAGTTGTATGCTCACTGTCTAGGCAACAATATTATGGCCCCCGAGCAAAGAGGATGTCGACGCGGGGCTCGGGGATGCAAAGATCATTTGATGCTAAACAAGGCAATATTGGAGGATGCACACGAGGCCCAAAAGAACTTGAGCATGCGATGTATAGACTATCAGAAGGCGTTTGATAGTATATCGCATGAGTGGTTGCTTCGCGTGTTGGACATTTATAGGTGCCCGCCGGTTATTAAAAATTTCCTTGAAAGAGCAATGCCCAAATGGAAAGTTATAATGACGGCTAAGGGCTCTACAGACTCTTACACTACTGAACCGATTTATGTTAGGCGGGGAATCTTTCAGGGAGATTCGTTATCTCCATTGTTATTCTGCTTGGCACTTAATCCGATTTCTACTATTCTAGGGAAATATCAAAAGAAAGGATATCATCTGAGGGACAGCGTGTGGATTAATCACTTAGTATACATGGACGACCTTAAAGTGTATGCAAATAATAAAACTAACTTAAAAATCTTACTAGATAGTGTTGAAATTTTTACCACAGATATAGGCATGTCATTCGGGCTGGATAAATGTAACATACTTCATATAACTGCTGGATATAGAAACCACACTGATGGCAACGAACATGTACTACTGAACGGAAACACTTTTAAGTGATTAAAATTAGACCAAACATACAAATATTTAGGGATTAACGAATCTGGGAAGATAAATCATAGCGATATTAGGGACCAATTAACAAAAGAATATTTTAGGAGAGTTAAAAAGATATCAAATTCTTATTTAAATGCGCGAAATTTAATAAAAGGGATTAATACATATGCTGTACCTGTTTTGATGTACTCATTTGGGGTTATAAATTATAAAAATAGCGATATAAAACGGATCGATGTTAAGACGCGTAAGTTGCTAGCAATCAAGAAAGCTCACCAGCAAAAGGCGGATGTGGACAGAATCTATTTACCCATAGCAATGGGTGGCAGGGGATTAATTAATTTAGAAAATTTGTATAAAGCTCATATTTTGAAATATAAACAATATTTAGAACATAAAAATGATTACCTAATAGAAGCAATAGCACAACACGATCAGAACAGAAGAAAATATTCAATTTACAAAGAAGCAGAAGAAATAGAAAAAGAACTGAGGTTAGCGCCGGGCAAAGATCATACCAAAATAGAAATTAAAAATAGCATAATAAAGAAGCAGAATGAAGCCTGGCGAAACAAGAACCTGCATGGGCAATTCCCTAAAAAGGTCCTCGACCTTGCCAATGTGGATAAAGAGCTTACCTTTAAATGGCTGAAGAAACAACCTATTTCGCCAACATTGGAATCGTCTCTATTTGCTATACAAGATCAGGCAGTGCTAACGCGCCAGCACGAACGCGACATATTGAAGAGAAATATAGATGGCAAATGACGCTTGTGCGCAAATAAAGACGAAACCGTTCAACATCTTCTAGCAGGATGTGAAAAACTCGCCGGGACATACTTTGTAAAGAGACACAATAACTTAGTTCAATATGTTTTCTGGTGTTTGGCTAAGAAGAACAAAATCGAAGTCAACAAGTTATGGTGGAAGGAAGAACTCAAACAACCGACTTTAAAAGAAAATAGTACAGCTAAATTAATATGGGAAATCCCTGTGCAAACTGACGTTACAATCACTCACAACAGACCTGACCTTATTTACATAGATAAACAAAACAACCATACTTACCTTATTGATATCTCGGTGCCGTCTGACTATAACATTGGAGCTAAGGAAATAGAAAAAATTAGCCAATATCACCCGCTAAAAGTCGAACTCTCCAGGTTATGGAACACCACCGTCACAACCATCCCGATTGTAGTAGGAGCCACTGGTGCAGTGACGAAGAGCCTTAAGCGATATTGTGACAAATTAGATGCAAACATTAACATTCACATACTACAAAAACAAGCAGCATTACACTCTTCCACCATAATTAGTAAAGTACTTGGAGATACCGTCTTCGTAACACAATCATCGCAAGCACATCAACAACACACAGCGCAATCAAACACACAATCAACGTCCACATACCATTCATCCACATCTCAATCAACGACACAACCATCATCCGATCACCACCCATTTGCAAGTCTTTCATCCATTTCTGACTCTCATACTCAAGAATCGGCCGGTCCATCACAACCTTACTTTCAACATTAGCTTCATATTTTAAATGGGGGGATAGAACAGAATCAATTATACTAGGTATCCTTTTTCCTGAGGGTCTCGGGACGGGATATTTAGATAAACCGACAGAGTCGTGAAAAAGTCGAGAAATTAAATAATATAATAATATATAATAACTAGTAAAACTTACACATATTATTTGATTCCTTTGAACGGGGCACAGTTGTTCAAATTAATATGTTCTCAAAAATGATACCTAATGTAATATACTCGTTCGAGGTCATATCACTAATACAATCAAATAATATTTATATTTGTCACTACTCACGAGCACAAGACTACATTTATTTTTCAATATTTTTATTTTCCACGGGATAATATTTTACACATCAGTTAACAAACAATGGTGACATCAAATTTGGCATCCATCAAAAATCCAATTCACTAACAAAAATTGGACAGCCAATAGGCGAAATGCTATAACCCTACAAATAAAGTTTTTTGCATATGAAACATTCAATATGATATTGTAAGTGTAAAAATTATTCATTTTGAATTCAAATATGGGAACGTAAAAGTATTTGCATATAGACAAAGTGATCATCGATCATATACAATTCGAGTTTTCCACGGCGATTAAAGAAGACGGATTGATTTTTTTGCCATTCTTGTAAATATTTGTAGTGTTCTGTATGTGTGTTGATGTGATATGTGAAGACGATGACGAATTGGATTCAATTAAAAAAGCTGTTTAATTTTTTTTGAATGCAGTTTTTGGTTTCTAAATTTCTATAGTTAGAATGTTATGGTTTCTCCAAAAAAAAAAAACAAAAGATAAAATAAGAAAGTATTGATTTTAGAATTCGATTTATTACACTTTACTCAATATTTAAAATATTCGTATGAAGCCAACATAATATATTTTTTTTTAATTTATATTTTTTAATGAATTATTCAACAAAATTTTAGTAAAAATTGATACAATAAATGCACTTCAATTGGTTGAATAGTTTGGACTTACCTCTTCAACTACGAGTATATACAGTACTATTATGTCTTGTGAAATTTGAATTGGAATTTTGTGTAAAATTCCAATATAGTATAGCACAGTTATATTGAAACTCAAAAAATGTTCATAAAGCTATGACAAAGGCTGTTACATTTCTATCTGGAAAACGATACATATCGAATTTACCAAAGCAACATGCAAATTCTATGAAAATAAAGAATATGTACCGTACAGTAACGAATTTTTGCGACAATATCAGACCTATGGGGAAGAAATCCTCTTTTCATAACCTTTCATGCCCATAAAGGCAAAAAGAATGCATTCAAATAATAAAACCACAACAACGTTTTATTTGGTCGCGTCAACGTGACGGGGCTATGCAAAATTGGTATGAAATTGAAAAACAAATTTTTTACATATTGCTTTTTTGATTCGGGGTGCGCTAGGACCGGGTTGGTGTGGGGTGATCCTAAAATATAGTGTAATATTTATTTTATTATAAACATTCGTATTGATATAATATACACATATTAAAAATTTGGAATGAAAGAAAGAGTAAAAATTATATTTTTATTTTTATTATGTGGCAATTTTTTTGATTTATAGGTGTTCACTATATTATATATTACGTTTTTTATTCATTGCAGATTAAATCTTAATAATAAGTAAAACTTTTTTTTTAATTATTATGAACTCAAATCAAACTTCGATAATAATTGAAGGTTTCGCGTACTGAAACTAAACTTTTTAAATACATAAATTATTCAAGTTTTATTTTTAAATTTCTTAAAAAATGGCAAAAATATATATTTCTAATGCAAAAGTTTGTGGAAAAGACCAATATTATATTGAAAGGGGTTGTCATGCATCGACGCGTTGTGTTACTTCATTACGACGCGGAATGCTACAATGGGCATCATTTTCTTGTTTTACGACTTACTTTATTTTGCCAGTGGATTTGTGGTCATATTTGCTTATGTTATACCTATTTAAGAGAGGAGAATAATATGTTATATATTTTGAAATGCTTCATATTTTATTTCCACCATAAAAACTACCTGGTCCTTCCCAGGGTCTCAAACTATCTTCTTACGTTTTATCTAAATTGGTTCAGTAGTTTCGGAGCATATTCGGTACAAACAAACAAAAAATCCCTCCCCTTTATGATAAAAATAATGAGTACCTATAGATTACGAGATTACAAAAAAAATGATAGATATGGATGGATAAATTACATGCACTTGCAGCTTAGCACGTGCTGCTCTCGAGGCTAAGGCTTCAAGCCATAGTCCACCATCTGGCCAAATTCGAGTTAGCGCACTTCACGCTTTATACGATAACTAGATAGGTTCTCTTAAATATATTTCGAGAAGGTTTTGCCAAGTGAAATCATGTTAAGAATGATTTGCATATGAAAATATCGAAGAAGCGAGATCCAATTCGAACCCGCTTTAGGCCGTCTTTTTTTCTAGATACCGATACCAATAGACTACCATTGCTTATAATATACGTACGTTCAATAACTAGACTGACCTTTGAAAGGTAACTCTCAATAAGTATGCTACAATATATGAATATCAACATCCTACCTACCAGAATATCGCTGTTATATGATATGTACGCCGATAATAATTAACAGTGAAACCTAACACATACCTAAACACTAGGTCTAATTTGACACGAGAATGCAGGACCTAAATTACTGAAATCAATCATGACGTGCGTACATTCGCTTCTAATACCACTTAAACACGCTACTCGGCTTTAAATGGGAAGCCTTAATGATATTCCTGTGGCAACAAAGATTAGAAATATGACAGAAATCTGATATTTGATTCTCTAATCTATAGTGAAAGTCAAGTACTGTTGTTTTGACACAAGTTAAGGATGGGTGACCGCTTGTAAATACGAGTAGATGCAATAGATAGGAAGAATTAAAAGTGTTTTAATGTATTACAAAACAGTACTTAAACAGTAGTGTTTTTAATTTGTATTAAAGGCCATTCACATCTTTCATTTCTAGAAAAGATCCCATTAGATCTATACTTATTATAAAAATAAGTCCCCCGGCCGCGTCTTTCTGTCCTCCTGTCTGTCTGTACGCGATAAACTCGAAAACTACTGAACGGATTTTTATACGGTTTTCAACAATAGAAAGAGTAATTCTTGAGGAAGGTTTAGGTATATAATTTATTATGCTTTTATGTAAATTAGCTGAAATACGGCGACAAATGTTGAAGAGGTCGCAAAAAATCTCGCCAAATGGGAACTTTCCACGCGAACGCCGCGTAAACTAGCAAAGATACAGTTAAGTAATGTACTAGAGAATTCAAAATCTATAAAAATGCTACAAAAAAGTCCGCGATAGCATATCTCTATCTCTTACGGTTGACTTACAATAACCACTTTTATGTTAACATTTTTAATTAAAAACATTACGTTATTTTCAAAGTTATTTTCTTTAGTTCGGTATTTATCCTTATCCAAATGAATATTTTAGTTAGCTTAGTCATTTAATGCAGATTAAAATTGCTCTTTACACTAAATCAATCAGATGAATAGTTTTTGAGATATCGTTGTTAGAAGTAATTAGTAGCGAAACATTTTTAATGCTTGGCGAGCATTGAGATGCCTACGGCGAGTCCATCCCCTCTGCCCCGCATCGCTCGACCGCCTGCTCAAGCTATATAAACCGGGCGATGTAGCGCGCGATCCTAGGATACTTTTTACCGCGGGAAAATATCTTATTTCTGAGGAAAAATACAAAAACTGCAATGTAAGAGTATACTAATATGTAACACCTAAGAATTTAGTTTTTGGTCATCTGAACGCGGGCGGAGCCGCGGGCAATGCTAGTTAAAATATAAAAATCATTAAAAAATATATGTATTTACTTAGGAAATCAAAATAAATAATCAAAAGTTAATATCCTATGAAAACTTTGTGAACTTTCAGTTTCCTGTAATCTATACATAGGTATATTAAAATTCTGAATCGAATCTGTACATCAAATATTTTTTTGGAAAATGTTATGGAAATTGTCATTATTATCGATGCAGAGGCCGAATCTGTAGTTTTAGAATTTTTGTCTGTCTGTCTGTCTGTCTGAGAACGCATCACTAGAAAACCACTAAACAGATTTTGGTGAAATTTGGTATGATGATAGCTGGTTATACATATAGGATACTTTTTACTGCAGGTAGATATCTCATCTCTGAGAAATCGATACTAACCGTTAAAAAGTACC